GCTATGGTAGAATTGTAGAAATCGATCTTCCTTTTACTAATTTTTGGTCGATTGAACATCAGAACGTGCCATATTGAACAATTAACCGGTTGAAAACAAAAAACAAAGACGTAATCAGGGGCGTAGCGTGGCCATTTTGGCAAGTACGCACACGGATCCATATTCGTAACAAAATATAAACGTTTTTGCTATCCTTTATTTAATAGTTACTTCGATTGGCAAATTACAGTCCTGTTTACGATAGAACGTGATATTAAAAGAAGCTTTTAAAACGTTTTTCTTGAGCCGGTACTGCAATCAGAAAGTTTTGAAGCACAAAGCGTCTCCCCCAAATAAACTTCCAAAGCGCCGAATGCACTTCACAAGAAATTCAAATAAGATGTTTCGTTCAATTGCTAAATGTTTGGAATAAAAGATAAGCTCTACTGTAGCTCAAGAAAAATGACCACTTAAAGTGCAAAAATTTGGACTTTAAAAGCATCGGTGGGAAGAATTTCGGCCTGTGTGTGATTGTGTAAATTTTCTACAAGCTTAGTTCTTTGCTGACTTTTGTGTTTTTCCTTTATTTCGATCATAAAATCGTCTCATGGAACAGACAATTATAGTAAGGGTTTTAGTATTTAGTATTCATTTATTTTCAGTTGTTCTGATTATCTCTAATGCTTTTCATTGAAAACTATTCCACCTTCTGTTGAATTTCCTACAAAATTCTTGTTGATGCCGCGCCATACGTGTACCTAATGGTTTGCTTCAGCTTTATATCTCGATTATGGTCGGCATGGTCTATTCCACGATTTCCCTCTTGAGCGACATTTAAAGAGAGAGAGAAAACTAAAAATGAATAGCTTTAATTTGAATGGGAAAACTTTCCAGATAGATCTTTATAGGAATTATAATCAATCAGGATCGATTCTTTGTGGCGACAAATGCGTTTCAATGAATTTCCCCAGTCCTCCTGGGGGATCGACAGAAAATCTTTTCAAAAAAATCCTACCAATTTCTCAAGTACGCACGGGTGTTTTTGCGTAAAGGACGCTACACCCCTGGTATAATACAGTTTGAATCACAACATCAGTTAACGTTCCTTTTTTCATCGGACGATCATAAATGAAAATTATGAAATCAAATTTTCGCGAACTTAGATGCTGCGGACAAATAGAATCGTAAGAAATGTAAGAAATTAGCCAGGTTGATCTTTTTTTTTTAATCTCAAAACGTAGAAAAATCCAACCTTTTCAATCTTTTTCTGAGTAAATAATTCTATCTTGTACATTCTATGATTAAGCAACTTGCATTTCATCAATTATACCTTATAAGAAAGAACTTTACCAAGTAAATAACTGTCGTAGGTCTTCTGTTAGAGATAAAAAATGTTTTGCCTGTCTTACTTGAAACGGCAAATCCCCTTTGTGTACGCATGCTCCTTTCGTCTCAGCAGTGCAGACTTGCTGATTCAGCTCAGGTGACTCGTTATCATAGTTCAGTAGCAAAGCGCTTTCATGCATGATGTCCGTGTTGTCGGTAGTAAAGTCCTCCTCTATTCCACCTGTACGCTCTTGATCCTCTGCCCTTGTCCCTTGTACGTCCTTAGGGTGTGTTACTTTTAACCACGAGGAGGAGACCTTCTTAAAAACACGTTTTCCCAGCACTGACGCGAGTAGCAGCAAAATGATAATTAACAGCCACGTGTTTACATATAAAGTTCTTTCGACCCGGGATTCCTTTTCCAAGTACGGTTCAATACGGAAGGATGGTCTTGTAGTGTTTACCTTAATAAGAAAATAAAATGATATCGAAGAAAGAGGGTTGACAATATTACGTTTTTAAAGGAGATACCGTAAAGTAATTTCGCGTTTGAAGAATACATCACAAAAAATTCCCTTGAAACATCGTAGGGAGACTTTTTGTTCAAACAAAATTTGACGCTTTGTTTAAAATGAAAAAAGCGAAGTTCTTTTTTCATTGAAAGAGGTGTGACAATATTACGTTTTTAAAAGAGATACGACTTTATTTACATATTCCTCTGTGCAACTTAATTCCTCTGCTCCCTGTGAATATTTATATTTCTCACATCAAAAAATTTTGCGCTTTAGCTATTGTGCTATGAGACTGGAATTTTTTCTATCATATACTCACTGCAGGAGAAAGGTTCATCCAGCTCCTTCTTATATTCGTGATTTCGGCTAGATACGGAGTAGGTGGCGATAGCTCCTGACATGAGGCCAAAACTGGTAGACTCCCATTTTCTTGGTCTTCTACCCAGGGGTCACCTGTAAGCCAGAATGCACAAATTCAGTAAAAAAACGGTGCCTGGCACAAAAAAGTACATAATACAAGCTGTGTCGTATTTACAATAGGGAAATAAGCAATTTACCCGCGAATTCAAGTTAGACCGAGACGAGACCAAGATAACTTTACTAAGCAACGTTTAAAGTTGTAATCAAGTTTTGGTTTTTTACACAATTTATGAGCACTGAATAGCAACTTTCCTCACTTCTGGGTTTAATAAAAGTAATAGGATTATTCCATTATGACCTACAAACTAAGTGTATGGGACCCTCTTATGTATTAAAAAGATATCCAGAGGCATGTGTGGCGACAAAGAGAATTGTTTTTGAGCCCCACTAATCGGAAATTTCATACAGATTTTAATCGTTGTGTGGTTGTGGTTATGCCGATCATGACGATGACGATGATGATGACGATGATGATGATGATTATCATATTTACCTTGAAGCATTAGAACCATGCAGTAGCATATCACGATGA